TAGACTTGAGGATGAATGTGTTATTATGTTTTGATTATGAAAATAATCATGTGTGTTTAAATGTGACAGAAAGAGTTATATACTGAGAAATGACAGATAATCCCAATCAATCAGAAAGGACCTCTACTGGTTATGGAAGAGGTCGGGGAAGAAGAAATGTAACACAAGGAGAGGACCCGGAAAATGTGATGACAATAGAAACACGAAGTCGTAGCAGGGGTCGAGGAAGAAGTAGAGGTACTAGACAAGAACAGGAACTGTCAGCTCAAGAAAGTTCAATGTCTGGTCATGGAAGAGGAAGGGCAAGGGGTGGACACAATGTTCCTGATCCCGGATTTATTACCCAAGAAATGTTGGCAACAGAGTTGGGAAAGTTCCAAGAAAGTTTGGTGAATTTGTTGGGGCGTACAACCCAAAATAATCCAGAAATGGTAAGAAATCCTGATTATCAGGAGGAAACCGGAACTAGTACACCGGTAACTGGTACATCTGTACCCCTTACTTCATCCTCAGTACAAAAAGGAGGAGATATCAAAATGTTTCTTGCTTGTAAACCTCTTAAGTTTTCTGGTGAGCGTGATCCTGTTAAAGCTATATGTTGGCTTAAGGAGATAGAGTTGAGTTTGCAAATCAGTAAAAGTGCAAAAGAGGACAAAGTCATGTTTGCTGTATCTCGTTTGAGATCAAGTGCTTTATATTGGTGGGAAGTTCTGTCAAGTTCAGATCCGAATATTCTAAAAACCATGTTGTGGGAAGAATTTGTGGTTAAGTTTAAAATGCAGTATTGTCCTGAAGCTACAGTAAGAAAGTTGGAAGATGATTTCCTTCATCTTGAGCAAGGAAACATGTCAGTCCGCCAGTATACAGAAGTTTTCATGGAACAATCTAGGTTTGCTGAAGCCTATATTATATCTGAAAACAGTAAAGTAAGAAAGTATATCTGGGGGTTGGAGTCGAATCTTCAGAAATATGTGATATCCAGGAATCCGACAACATTTCAAGCGGCAGTTGATGCTGCTGAAATACTAGAACAAGACATTAACCGGCAACCACAAGAAAGGGTTGGAGAGAAAAGAAAAGGGGAAACTACAGTAACTGATTTCCGTAGACCAAGGTTTATGGAAAATTTGAATCGACCAATTTCAAGATTTGCGGATAAAGCATATAACCGATGTCATAAGATACATCGGGGAAATTGCAATACAGAATCTCGAGTATGTTTTAAATGTCAGGAACCAGAACATATAGCTCGACATTGTCGAATGACACGGATGTGTTTTACTTGTAATTCATCTCAACATGTAAATGCCGATTGTCTGCAAGCAAAGGGTCGGGGGTCTGGTTTTATTGGAGGAAGGGGATCTGGATATTCTGGAGGCCGAGGACCTGGTTATGTGCCAACTGGTCGTGGACAAATGGATAATCGTGTTAATTCAAGTGGTTGAAGAGAAATAAGACGTGGGGAGTCTGCAAAAGGGAGAGCTTTTCAGATGACGAGAGGTGAGGCGGAAGAGCACCCTGAAGTGGTAACAGGTACATTCCTCGTTAATTCAGTATGTGCCAAAGTTTTATTTGATTCGGGTGCAAATCGTTCTTTTGTGTCACCGTCGTGTGTTAATTGTGCACATTTAGAATCTAAAGCGTTGAGTGAGGATTTAATTGTGGAAACAACAAATGATAGTGAAGTTT